CCGGCTTGATCAACATTTACGGTCATAATATTTTTAACAATTAATGTAAAGACACTTCATCGCTGTAGAACTAATCTTGAATCTCCAATCTATTCGTATAAATTAACGTCAAATCTCTACCTAAAGTATAGACTTTTTTATTTCATGAAAACTAAAAACTGTTACTGTCAACCCCGGTCTCCCCTACTCTGCTTTCAAATATTTGATCAGATCGAAACGTTAAATTAATTACAAACTGTAAAGGGTTGAACCGTGAGGCGCAACTGTCGCGAGTCACGACGAAATTACCGCGTGCACCGAAATCGTTGGCACGTAGAACGGAGTTTCGTCCGTCGTCCGATCAGCGATTTCGCGTCTCTCTGGCAGCGGAAAGTCATTAAAGGGGGTAGTCTCGCGATCCCAACGTCAACCCCCCCCTTCCCTCTTCTACGGTGCAGCCAGTTTCCACGGTGTCGCTGCGCGAAGCTTCATAAATACAGGACATTTCATACGAACTGTCGGCTCACGGTGACGTGGTTGCTCGTGGCTACCGCCACGGCCCGACATGACGTACGACCGACAGCGGCCGGACTTCGCGGATTTCCGTTCGAAATAAATATGTATCTGCCCGGCGCTGGTTTCCGTCGCAACGAGGGACACCCGCGTCCAGCCTCGGACATACGTTATTTCCTCTCTATTTTTTTTTCTCCCCCCTGCCGGGGATTTTTTTATTTTCCCCATTTTCACGCTACGCTCGCCGCGACGAACAGGGAAATTATGAACACCCCCCGGGGGGTGGGTTGAAAAAATATCAGCCCCGTTTTCTGCTTGGATCCCAGCCAGGGGAATCGAAGGAACAATACCGAGCCTTTGGATAATATTTACCGATTGAAACCCCCTCGTGATCATCCACCTTCTCATCCCACAACGAGCGAGGCTTAAGGAGCTCGATGAAAGTCGAGTGGAGTTCGATGATGGAATCCCGTGGAGCAGTGATCGACGGGGATAATTTCATTGGGACCGACGACGGGGAACGTGTTTACGGTGGGGACGTTTAAGTAGATTCTGCCGTGCCTCTGCACACGAATGGGATCTCTGGAGGGGGTGGGTTGTGATCCGGAGAGCGTTTCTCTCGGTCGATCCGTGTGGTGACTAGACACGCCGGTTTTATGTACCCACAGCGGGACGTAACCGGGTAAACGACAAGGTAACAGAACGTTTTATAACGATTAACAGAGACTTTATATTTTTCTTCAGCGAGCGGAACGATTACCGAAGTGTCTATTTGATTTACTCTTTTGGAAGTTATTGCGATGATGGTTGTGATCTATTTACGGATGGCGGGAAGAATTTGTTTGGTTCGAAGTTAGACTGTTTGTTTATGAATAAAACAAAAATGTCTGGTGTCTGATGCACACAGGAAATGAACGAAACTAACTGGTCGCGTACTGAATCATTCCATTTGCACGTCGGAGGTGCGCTGGAACGTCTATCTGAAAATAAACTCCGTTTCGCTCGTTGACAGAATACTCGATAGTAGATGTCTCTTACATATATGTCCCACGAAAAGAGAACTACCTATTGGGTACACGTGACTCCAGTGTCTACACGAAGATATTTAAGTAAAGAGTACGAAATGATGAATCAATTGTCCACTTACTTTCTATTTATTAATATTGAAAATTAGGTTTTTTTTGAGACAACGAAATATCATTTTCGTCTGCCAAGTATGAATCGCCACCATTTCGTCGCTCGACGATCTTAACTGTTCTAACAAATTCACCATAGTATAAAGAAAATTCTACTTAAAAAACATCAAATATTCTTTAAAATCTTCGCCCCGAAACTAGAGCAAGAATTTGTCGAGCCCTTGCACATGAGAATTCTATTTTTCTCAGCAACGAATTAAGAGTATAAGGTGACAAACCAATTGTCCGCTTTCCATTAACGAACCTGAGTCATTGTTCCCCACAAAGGACTCGCCAAAACTTGTTCCCCCAACAGAGACAAGTGAACAAAAAACCTCCCCTGCTGGATATACCACCCCCCAAGGTTCAATAGCACCAGCCACCAGACACGCACCAAGTGTCCCAGATCTTCGAGCCTGGTGTCGCTTAATCAAACACGCCCACCCCACACCCCTCCCAAAACGTGGTCCATGATCCGCCCTAAAAACAAAATTCCCCGTCGTTTGCTACAACGCACAGGTGGACATTGTCCGGCGAGTGGTCAGCGCCGTCGCTCCGTCCGGCCTCGATTATCGATTATGAAATTGCACCGGATAAAGCAAACGAGAGGTCGCGCGGCCTCTGTCACCCCCGACCAACTCTCACCCACCCTCTGTCCCCGGAGTTTCGCGCTTGTGTCGGTGGACAGGTGTGCCGGTTCGCTTTCCGATTATCGGATGACAGACACAGGAGCGTGGTGGCGAGCACCAGAAGAGACACGAGAGCAACCGATCTCTGTCACTCCCACAATCACGATCGACTGTGTGGCGACGGAGATCGTCGGTTTCGCGACCATGTATCCTTTAACCCAGCGGTGGGCAAAGTTAGCTCCCGGAGGTGAAACTTGTCCCCACCACCGTCCATCGTTACCAGTAACAGAGACAAGATTATGGGCTTTTTTTGTACCTACGAAAGCAAACGGTGCGAAAGAAAGGTTGGCAGGGGAAACAGGCGCGTGAGGTGCCCCTACGCTGCCCAGTACTGCTTTAACCCCTAGACTGTCAGCATTTTTTCTTAACCCTCATCCGTCCCTCATTTTCCCAACTTAATTTGTCCCACTGTGTCAAGTTGACCCAAATTGAAAAGTAATGTTTCTTTTATGATATTGACTGTAGATATTAAATGGAGAATTTTTATAAATTTTTGTTAAAGATTTCCAGGTTATACCCTTCCGTAAATTATTCCCGAGTAACATGGTTCCATTCGAACCACGTTATAACGGAGAATCACCAATAAATATACATTTAATTCCTATTTCCCGTAAACCAATTAATAAACAGCAAATTAACATAAACATCCGGGTCAGTTATAACGGACGTCGCTCTAACATCCTGTTACCACCCCCCTGCTAGCTTACCCACCCCCTTGGTAGATCCAACCCGGTCGTATTACACGTGACTCGTTGCGCACAGGCGCAACTTCCACCGCTCTCTGTCATACTCCGACTGTCACTTTATCCACCTATGACACTTCATCCAGTCCTCCGTCACACACGGGGGTTATCGTTACCTCACCCCCTCAGCCCCCTTTATCCGTCTCTATCCGTTATCCAAGCCCCGTGTGTCACCCGTGGCCGAGCTCCACTAATTCCCCCCGCGGTTCGGCCATCGCGTCGTATTAGCTGGTCACATTATTGCACGATTATCCAAGAATCGAGCTCACCAGCCCCTCTTAACCAGGTTCCTATCAGAGGCCTCGATAAAGCTTCCTCCACCCCCGACCGCTAAGTCCTCCACCATCCCCCCGATATCCTTTTTTTCGCTCGTTTTCTCCCTAATGAATGCGGATGTCGTGAATAGATCGATCTCCGGCGACGAGGGGACGGGACCGGCGATCCGTCGATGGTTTTGGAGATTGTTCGTTGGTTATATACTTGGTGCTCGTTTAGTCTCTAAGCTGAAGAATGGGAATTTTTGGGAAACGTGGAAGGAATCGCGAGAAGGGAAAGTCGATGAATCAGGTTTCTTCCGATAGCAATTGAGAGAATAATGTATGAATTTCAATCGAATCTCGTAGACCTGAAGCCCTTCTTTTAACAGAAGTTTCTTTAGTTTTTTAAATTCATATTGTCGTACACACGTACGAGCTGTACCTACACTAATCTCCGCGATCAAACTGTGTTAAAATCAAGCGTATCCAGACACGTAACCACTCACGCGCCATTTTACCGCAATTAAGCGGAACGACTTCAAGCAGTCTCGTTGCCAGTTAAACGCGAACGACCCAGTTTTCGCGAAACTGTTACTCTGTCCACAGAGGCTCTGTTTGCGAACGGCCTTAGTTGCCCGTACGTTCGAGGAATGCACTTTTCTTTTCTGTTAAAACAGAGGCGTGAATGTTTGTCGCCGCTTGTGGAAACAGTACGGCCCGTTTTAAATAGGCGAGTCAAAGAAGACGCGTGTAACACCACCGTCTATTTTGTCCCACGACATTCTGTTTGCGTTCTGTTAACGATCGATGGGTCGGCCTCCTTTGACAGTGACGGAGACGATTATGATTTATTGGGCACCCCTTTTATCGCTAATTGCCGACTACTTTGTTGCTGGCGGCCTAGTTTACTTGCAGATAAAAACGCCGGTGTCTATTCTTAGACCGAACATTCAAGCTTCGATTTCACAAGCAGTCAGAAGCAGAAATTAATAAAACCAACACCAAAACCTTCCTTCCTCTAACTCGATTCGTAACTTCAATTCTAACACAGAACATTCTACAACACAATCGACGAGCCTAAAAGCTTCTAACCCAGTGACAATATACATTTTACCATTCATCAGAGAAGAATGGTATCATCTCACATTTCGAAAAGAAAAAAATTCGAGCTCCCTGACCGAACGATTTCCAGAAAAAAATAGCTTCCATTCATAGCCACATATCATACGAATATAGGAAAACAAGCAATGGGAGAACATACCAGATACCACGCTAGTAGTAGGAGGAAAAAAACACAGCGGAATAATTCGCCGGTCAGGGAAATACGAATGAAAAAAAATCCACGGTCTCGGTATTTCCGTAAAATACTAACAAGGTGAATAGTTTTTTTTTTTTTTTTTTCGTTGCCTCCGCGACGATACGTCGGCGATCGTACGTCTAAATGGGAATGCAAACAGGCCCCGCGTAAAAATAAATTCCAGACGCTGCTACGGCCTGGCCTCGTGTCGCCAGGCCGCTGATAGGAAAATCATTTATCGTTACGAAATTACTGCGCGACCAGCCGGTTCACCGTTCATTTTTACGTCGATAAGCGGTATCGCAGCCGCGGTAGCAGTGGTCTATCTCTCTGTTGTTTGTACTCACTTGATTCGATTAGAGACGAGCAGCTCCGCTATGTTTTTGCCGAGCATCGAGTACAAAGTCTCCACGAAGACCAGCACCTTCGGGTCCGTTCTCAGTCGGGCCTCGCTGCGGTGGTCCGGAGCGGACGGGAGACGCGTCGCTCCTCGTAACGTTGAACACCTTATCGCTGGCTCTGGCCTGGTATCTCGGTGGATCAGGCTGTAACAAACGGGAAAATCAAAGGAAATTAATGAATCTGTGAATTTGTTGCGTCTAAAAGTGCTTAGCGTATTACAAGGTACTGAAGAAGAAAGAGGTATACAGGTTGGGGCAATAACTCCTTTGTTGGATTCCAGGTAAAGGAATATTAACAATACTTCCTTTAAACTTACCAAGAGGCTTTATTTCAAACGGTTCTGTCCAAGTGACTGAATATAATGTACGTATGGGTAATAGTGTGTTCGACAGCGAGAATACGAATGCTTTCGGAATACTCTTTGAGATCTTATATACACGTTTCCTGGTTAGGGGAGGGATGAACGTGGCCTTTGGTTACAGGGTGGCTATAATGGTTTTACCTTTTCGACTTTGCGATGACTAAGAATGATGCAGCTAGGTTACTTTATCTATGAGTGAGTAAGAAGATTGGTCACACATTTTCCTTTTCAATTGTCAGCAGTGCTGGCTCGAAGCCCGTCGGTACCAAGAAGCAGAGTTCATCTGAAAATTTCACCGAGTAATGCAATCAAGATTGCGTCCGGATCTTCGCCGGGGACTAAATCCTTTTGTTCAACTTCGTCCAGGCGAGGAGGACCGTGACTAAAAGCACTGTAAATCGACGTCGGGTCGATGTTATATAATTTCCCCGTGCCGAGGGGGCAGGTCGTATGGAAGGTGGAGGGGACAAGAAGTGGTTCAAGTATTCCAAGTATTTGAAGTTCGCGGGGCTGTGAATGCGGCCGGCGAAGTGTACGCCGCATACTTTCCGCGGCGTTTCCTTTCAAGGGAAAAGTTCGCGCCAAGCCACCCCCCCCCCCTACCCTGCGCACAAAAGATCCAATTTGACTTTCATACCGGCGATTATGGATGCAGATTTTCGCTCGCCGCGATTCGATTCCGTTCACCGGCCCCGTCGAGCGTGTCCTCCCCCCACCCAGTCAACCCGGAAACCGTTCAAGATTCGCACGTTTCCGGCTAATGGCGCGGAATCGGAAACACAGACGACGCTCACTGCGGACCGCGAATGATCGTGACGCATGCGAATTGTCGATTCGACGCGACAATACGGATTAAACGATCGGAAAGTCGAGTGAATTGGATGGTATTTCGTCGGGGGAAATTGTGAGAAGATTTCCTTTTTTGATTGGAGAACATTTTCATGTTTTAGATTCTTCTGTGAAGGAGGCCTTGTAGAAACGAAGTGAAAGCTGTTGCGAAAATGTAATTGGAAAGATGATGATTAGCAACTATGAAGAGCAATGTACACGATTCTGCGATCGACTCATACTTTACTGGTCCCCTGATACCTGATTTCCTACTGTCTGTATATGGCTATGTAACAAAATACACAGAAAAATATTCGAATAATTATTTAAACTATTGTATGACTCACTAACTGTTCAAAGTAAATTTCACTCCCTGGGTCTTCTAACTCGTTAGAAACTCTGTCTATTCACCAGGAAATCTACAGAAGACATTGAGCTCTGATTTCTGATTGGTAGAACACGTGTCACGGTACCAGCAGCGAGTATTATAGTCAATTGCGTAGCTACGACGGTAGAACTAACGGAAACCAAGAGGGAGAAGTTCCCTGAGCCCTACAGCTTACACTGGACAGCACTGTGTTAAGTCTTTAGACCGACGTTCAGCGTTGTAGTCCACCTTAACAGACAAGATTACAGTTTCCTTCGAGACAGCTTTCTCAGTACAGGTGCAAGAACGCGATGCATAATGCGTGTGGTATTAACGCGTCATCGTCCACACGCGACCTGAACCCATAAACCGTGTAGACCCTTTGCAGATTCCCTGGTCTATTAATCGATAAACCAGTGGCCCCAGTGATTACGATTAAACAACGTGCTGTCGATCGGCGTGCATAAAGACGAATTTCATGAGATAAATTCCTATCGAAAACGACCTTTCGAAGCTGTCGCTGCAACGGTTAAGCCAGGAGAGCTGGTACGTTCCGCTTTAAAGCCTCTGGTTGTGTACATGTACCAGAGGCGGACATCGAAAATTTGTTACGTCCGTTTCGTTTCGTCGCCGCACTCGCAATTAATGTAAAAACGATGTAGATACAATATCGACACGGCGCGGTTTACGTGTCGTGATTGAAGTTTTGTATGACAACTGCCTTCTTGGGTAACTTTTCCATTTTCGATTGGCATCGATTCCTTCTGTAGGGGTGGCTTTCAATATTGGGGTAATGAAATAATTCTATTTGTACTGGAGATGAGAAATAAAACTGTGTTTTAATCAGACTGTGCTGCATTGAATGGATTCAATCTCTTTCAGATCGTTAGAAGGGAATCAATGGTAGAAGTGCAGGAGATTATCGAACTGGCTTGGCGATGTGTAATTAATCGCAGGTGATCACGATGTTCCAGGAAGGGACTGTTGGTAACTGGCGTTCGACTATCGTCAAATGATCTATAGACTGAAGTTCCGGAAGCCTTTCCTGAGCCTGTGATCCCGATGGTATATCAGAGACTTTAATTCCACCTACGCAATGAGATTAAGGATGAAAGGAGTACTTTAAAGGGAAGCTGAAAAGGCGCATACACGGAGGGGGCGCGGCAGCGTTTCTTTCGTCCGTCTTTAAAGCGAATCTCTTTTGCCAGTTCTTTGGGAGACAGTCGGATTATCGGTAATCGTAAAAATGCCGTCAGATTTATGCCGAGCGGAGCAATCCGTCGCTTTGTGCCCCTGCTCGAAGAAAGGAACGAGACGCGGACGTTATCTCGTCGAGTAAAAGGAGTTGATCCTCATTATTCGAAAAAATGTCGGTCCTGAGCTACCAGTGGACTGCTGAGAGCATTGATTCCGGAGGGAACGGAAGAAGACCTGGGGATGAATGGAAGAAGAAACATTTAACGCTCTTGCGATTAATCGAAGGAATGTTCTTAATTAAGCGTACTGGTATGGTAGAATTGACAGAAGATCAATCATGTGTTATGCAGGTATGTGTCTATGCATCAGTGTGAAATACGATCACTATTATTAAAGACGAGATTGACACTGTTACCCCTTGTACATAAAGTGGATACTATTCGAATTGATAAGTCCAATAGTTTTTCTTTAAAAAATTTCTAAAAATTGCCTTATTATATATAGCAGTCACACTAGCATAGCCCCTTGAACCGAGGACGAGGTGTACCTTAAACTCGATTAAGGGGGCCAGAGCGAGCTCGTAAAACCGGGCCTTGCCTCATATCCGGAAAGATCCATTGTGCGTGTTCTCACGTATAAGCTTTCGAGTACGCTGGTAATCTGGTCCGAGAGAGATACGGAACGTCATCCTATCGTGCATCACGGCAGCGTGGCTGCATGCCCGAAGTAAGCCTATTAACGTGCGCGGGGGCTTATTAGAGGATGCCATCTGACCCGAATTCCGCGTTCCTATTGGCCAGAGGCGTAGCGACGCGAGGATACATTTAATACGAATTTATGATAACGCTTCGAAGCTCGCGCGGCTATTCTCGACGGTCTTCCGCGAGAGAATGGGGAGACAAGCTGCTCCTGGAATGAATCTGGGTCCTCGTTGTTTTATGGCCTGGCTGGCAGGAGTCATTCGGACAGAGTGAACATTCGATGATAAGTGTCGAGTATTAGGAGACTAAGAGTTCCAGGATTCTTCATTTTAAAAGATACAAGTATTTCGAATCTACCACGTTTCATTGGTAAAGCTGGCAATCATGTGGGAATTGTTCGTCGGAAATGATTTACCATGGATGTGGTTGTTAGGGAGAAAACTAGTTTATTGGAGGAATTGATATCTAGACGAATTGATTCCCTAGATGAACCGAGCCTCGAGATGAACCGAGTCCCTGGATAAACTGACTGCTTAGATGGATTGAGCTCCCCTGGATCGTTTCGCCCAAACGGAAGCTCTTTATTAAGGTTGATGATCGATCGCTCCTACTTTCTACCTTAACTGACCACGTTACCCCGTGTTGCATTACCGTTTGCTTTCCCCTTTCGCTGTTTCCAACAAAAATGATCTTCTCATTAGAGGTCCACCTTTCTTCTGTGATTTTGGGCATCCTGTGGCTTCGTCGTCCATTCTCCGATTTTATATTTTTCATCGAACCTCGACGCGTCAACTATTATTGGCGTTTTAAATTAGATCACTGGCAGTCGATTTATAAACCACGATAACTGACAGTTTATAGTATAACTCCGATTATTTGAATATCAGAATTTGTTTCTCTTCAAATACATCTCCAAAGATCAACGTTTGTTTTTGGATTCGACGACCCGGAGGTCCCAGAATATACATCAATTACAAGGTGTACAAAATCAATCACAGTCTCGAACTCGAGTTCCTTCTGCGTTGGAAGCATCGTTCGGCTTTTCAAGGAATTCGGGCGCAATAAACGAAGTCCTCGCGAGCTGCCTTAATTCGATGCGATAGACGAGAGGAAATCGTGACGCCGTTCCCGAATTCTGCGTGATCTATCGGCGTTGATAAAAGGATTGACGGAGTCCCTTGCGGCATCCGAGAGCCACGTTAAGGAGGTCTATGCTGGTCTAATGGATGACTGGAATTATTTAGGCGGTAGTTCGTGGAATTTGGCGCTTTAGCTAATAACATCGACCTGAATCGGATGATTATTTAAGGCTTGGTACCTCGACGTTCTACCTGGGCCCAGGTTACATCAACATCCTTGTAAATCTCTGGCAAGAGTTTCCCTTCCCTACCTCCTCGGTTACGTCAACTACGCTCGTTAACTTCGTAGCTCCTCGTGAATAATGTAGGGCGCAGGGATGTATAGGTAGCTCCTGCAGGGAAGAAATTCTTAATCGTGTAATAATAGACGCGACTGAAATTTATGTAAAGTGATATTGAAACATGTACTTCACTGCGAAAAGTTCGGCTGCGTATGAATACCTTTGAATGTCGTAATGTCTTTCTGAAAGGTAACTTCAGTTCTTCCTATCCTTCAATATGAACACCTAATACTGAATATCACTTTCTAAACCATAATCTAATAATGTAG